ATTTTCCTAGCGGATGAGGTAGATACATTGTTGTGGTCTTTAAAGGCGAGATCCTCTGACATAATCACTCCTAGGTCCTTCACATTACTTTTCCGCTCTATTGTATGGTTAGAATTTGTCGTATACCCTGATACATTTTTAATTTCTTTAAGTTTCCCATATCTGAGTAGTTGAAATTTCTCCTCGTTGAATTTCATATTGTTATGAGTGGCCCATTCGAAGATTTGGTTGATGTCCGCTTGGAGTCTCGCGGTGTCTTCAATGGAGGTCAGTCATGGTAATCCGGGTGTCATCCGCAAGGGAAGACATCTCTGTCTATGTCAGAAATGAAGATGAGGAATAGAATGGGAGCGAGTACTGTGCCTTGTGGAACAGAAATTTTCACCGTGGCTGTCTGGGACTTTACTCTGTTTACTATTACTCTTTGTGTTCTATTTGTCAGGAAGTTATAGATTCACCTACCAACTTTTCCTGTTATTCCTTTATTACGCATTTTGTGCGCTATTACACAATAGTCACATTTGTCGAAAGCTTTTGCAAAGTCTGTATATACTACATCTGTATTTTGTTTATCATCTACTGCATCCAGGACCTTGTCATAGTGGTCCAGTAGCTGGGACAGGCAGGAGCGACCTGCCCTAAACCCGTGTTGCCCTGGGTTCTGTAATTGACGAGTATCCAGGTGGTTAGCGATCTTGCTTCTTATAGCCCTCTCAAAGATTTTTATGTTATGTGATGTTAGTGCTATCAGTCTGTAGTTCTGTGCAATTGCTTTACTGCCACTTTTGTGGATTGGGGCTATGTCTGTTGTTTTTAGTGTGTGTGGGATGACCCCTGTGTCCATGCTCCCTCTCCATGAAATGCTGAAGGCACGCGATAGGGGCTTCTTGCAGTTCTTGATGAACACGGAGTTCCACGAGTCTTGGCCTGGGGCAGAGTGCATGGGCATGTCATTTATTACCTCTTCAAAGTCTTATGGAGTTAGGATAATATCCGAGATTTTTAAGATGACCAAATTTTGGGTTTCGCTCATAAAGAATTCGTTTGGATTGTCGACCCTTAGTCTGGGCAGCGGCTCGCTGAACACTGAGTCATATTGCGACTTTAGTATCTCATTCATTTCTTGGCTGTCATCTGTGTATGTCCCATCCCGCCTAAGCAGGGGTCCAATACTGGATGTTGTTTTTCCCTTAGATTTGGCATAAGAGAAGAAGTATATTGTTCTGTTTTTTTCAATTTCCTTTATGGCTTTTAGTTCTTCCTGTGATTCTTGTCTCCTGCAAGATTCCTTCAGCTTAAGTTCGATATTTGCAATTTCATAACGATAATTTTTATAGAAGTGAACCGGGAAGCCAGAGGAAGACCCCGGAAAATCCTGCTTGTTACCATTACCAAGCCATCATGATGTCATTACAGAGGCATTAGAAGAAAACCAAAATGCGAAAGAGTTTCACACGGATTATGCAAAGACGTTTGGCAAATGCGATCATGGAGTGACTCCATCTACATTAAATGAGAGAGATAAAACGGGAAAAGAAAGCAAATGGATATTCAGCATTCTGACAGTTAGATCACAAAGAGTACTAGTAAACAAAACAAAATCTAGCTTTAGCAAAGTAAAACGCTCAGTACCACAAGGCGCGGTCCTGCCTCCTTTTGCTGTTTCTCAAACTCATAACAGACACAGATAAAAATACCTCGGTAGAAGACACTGAAAAACTGCAAGAAGACATAAGCGCCTTCCAGTATGCAGTGGAGGATAGCACCTCCTATCAGTGTTGAGGGACTGAACACCTACGTATTGATACTGAGGAACTAAACTGCTTTTGTCAAGGCCGAATGACTGAACACCTTCGGTTAAGAATGAATAACTGAACACCTGTCAAGGCTGAGGGACTGAGTACCTCAGAATTACCTCTCCACTTCTCCTACTGTCTCCAGTAATATAATCACCTCGGTGTTCGATTGAAGAAGCCTTTTGCGAGGACGAAACGTTTTGTCAATAAAGACTGACTTGTTAGGTAAGACACATATGCAACAGTTAGGTATCTTTATTTCGAAACGTTTCGCCTACACAGTAGGCTTTTTCACTCGAGTACAGAAAAGTTGATAGAAGCAGAAGAGACTTGAAGACGATGTAATCAGTCCAGACTACGGAACAATGCTCTTCTCCAGACTGAGGGACTGACCACCTCAAAACTTTAAGGGTGATGGACTGATTACATCGTCTTCAAGTATCTTCTGCTTCTATCAACTTTTCTGTACTCGACTGAAGAAGCCTACTATGTAGGCGAAACGTTTCGAAATAAAGATACCTAACTGTTGCATATGTGTCTTACCTAACAACCTGTCGGTATTTTATACCATTTTAATGTTTAAAGACTGACTTGGTATAGTGTGGTGGCTGTCTTGATACAATGATGTAAGCAACATAGACCAGTGTTATGTAGTCATGTAAGCAACATAGACCAGTGTTATGTAGCCATGTAAGCAACATAGACCAGTGTTATGTAGTCATGTAAGCAACATAGACCAGTGTTGTGTAGTCATGTAAGCAACATAGACCAGTGTTATGTAGCCATGTAAGCAACATAGACCAGTGTTATGTAGCCATGTAAGCAACATAGACCAGTGTTATGTAGTCATGTAAGCAACATAGACCAGTGTTGTGTAGTCATGTAAGCAACATAGACCAGTGTTATGTAGTCATGTAAGCAACATAGACCAGTGTTGTGTAGTCATGTAAGCAACATAGACCAGTGTTATGTAGTCATGTAAGCAACATAGACCAGTGTTGTGTAGCCATGTACGCAACATAGACCAGTGTTATGTAGTCATGTACGCAAGATACTAGACCAGTGTTATGTAGTTATGTCAACAACATATTTCAAGATTACATAATCCACATTTAACTTTCTAGGAATTACAAAAAATGACCGTAGTAGTTTCAAGCTGTGTCAGGCATCCACACAGTGGGCGTGCTGAAAGCTTAAGCTGACAAATAAGCTTAACCTAAGCTCGCGCCTGACGGCTCATCCTTCCAGAGCTTAATAATCCTCCCCCCCCCCCCAGCATTATCCGGAGGTCAAGCGTCGGAAATTATGCGAAAATGAAAGGTCAGACATCATTTTTTTAGGTGAAAATGAGTGAGGATGAGTTAAGTGCACTTTGCTTTCCTCAGGTCATTCTTGCAGGTGTGGGGGAGGACAGGTGTGGGGGACGACAGGTGTGGGAGAGGGCAGGTGTGTGGAAGGACAGGTAGGATGAAGGTTAGGTGTGGGAGGGCTATGGGTCTCGTGTGGGTGAGGCAGGTGTGGGGAGAGCAGGTGTAGGGGACCGGACGTTGGGATAGATGACAGGCGTGGGAAAGGACATATTTAAAGGACAGGTGTACGGAAGGCGGGAGAGAGAGAGAAGAGAGAGAGAGAGAGAGAGAGAGAGAGAGAGAGAGAGAGATAACTGGAGTGGAGTACAGGTTTAGAGAGACAGGTGTGAAGAACATGCGTGGAAAACAGGTGTGGACGATAGGTGCAGGGACCAGGTATGGATAACAAGTGTGAAGACTATTGGTGAAGGATAGAGGTGGGGGACAGATATGACAGGCAGGTAAGGAAGGCAGGTATGGGAAGGAGAGGTTTGTAAGACAGGTGTGTAGGACAGATGTGAACAGTGATCGCCTTTGTTAAGTGGGCAGATGTGGAAGGCATATGTAGGGGGACAGGTGTGGAAGATAGGTGTGTATGGAGTTCTCACGTCTGCTAAGGGTAGGTGTGGAGGATGCGTGTGGTGTACAGGCGTGGATGAGAAGTGTTGAAAACAGGTGTAGAAGACAGGTGTATGTGTGTATGCGGATTTCACATCTAAGCTCGTAGGTATGGAGGGCAGGTGTGGAGGACAGGTGTGCATGGAACAGGTATGGAGGGCAGATGTAGAGGACAGGTGTGTACGGTTCTCACCTCTGGTAAGGTTACAGGCGTGGACAGGAGTGGAGGACAGGCGTGGGGAACAGGTGTGTGAGGTACTCACCTCTTCTAAACCGCCAGGTGTAGAGGACAGATGTGGAGGACAGGTGTGGAGAGCAGGTGGTGAAGGCGGGTGAGGAAGACAGGTGTATGCGGTACACACCTCTGCTAAGCTGCCAGGTGTGTAAGACAGGGGTGGAGGGCAGGTGGTGAAGGCAAGTGTGGGGGGACAAGTGTGTGCGGTACTCACCTCTGCTAAGGCGCCAGGTGTGGAGGACAGTTGTGAAGGACAAGTGTGGAGGGCAGGCCTGGAGGACAGGTGTGTGTAGAACTCACGTCTGATAAGCGGGCAGGTGTAGAGGACAGGTGTGGAGGACAGATGTGTGTGGTACTCACCTCTGCAAAGCTGGCAGGTGTAGATGACAGGTCTGGAGGAGAGGTGTGCTTGGTACTCACCTCTACTAAGCGGGTAAGAGTAGAAGACAGGTGCGAAGGACAGGTATGAAGAACAGGTTTGAAGGACAGGTGGGTGCTGTACTCATCTCTACTAAGCGGGCAGGTGTAGAGGACAGGTGCGGAAGACAGGCGTATGTGTTGCTCACCTCTACTAAGCGGGCAGGTGTCGAGGACAGGTTTAGAGGACAGGTGTTGAAGACAGGAGTGTGTGGTACTCACCTCTGATAAACGGGCAAGTGTGGAGGACAGGTGTAGAGGATACGCGTGGAAGACAGGTGTGTATGGTACTCACCTTCTGCTAAGCGAGCAGGTGTGAAGGGCAGGTGTGGAGAACAAGTGTGGAGGACAGGTGTAGAGGAGAGGTGTAGAGGACAGGTGTGGAGGACAGATGTGTGTGGTACTGGCCTCTGCTAAGCGGGCAGGTGTGGAGGACAGGTGTAGAAGAGAGGTGTAGAGGACAGGTGTGGAGGACAGATGTAGAGGACATATCTGGAGGACAGGAGTGAAGGACAGGTGTAGAGAACAGATATAGAGGACAGGTGTGGAGGACAGGTGTGAGGGAGAGGTGTGTGTGGTACTTACCTCTGATAAGCGGGCAGGTGTGGAGGACAGGTGTGTGTGGTACTCACCTCAGATAAACCAGGAGATCATCTCCTTCACCTCTGAACTCCGTCACTCCAAACAACTCCAGAATCACTCCAAAAATATATACATATACATATATATTTTTTTTCTCAAAAAAAAAAAAATCTGCCGAAGCACTAGGAAAATCTCTGTGTGTTATCCATGGGTAGAGTTAGTGCTAGTTGCGTTAGCTTAGGTAGAACTAGTGGGTGGCGCAGGGAACAAGGTAGAGGGGATGCGCGTTCTCTCCCCGGCTGCAGGGAGGTGAGTGAGGCGGCAGGTGGCGGCGGTTCTGTGGCCAGGCGGCGGCAACGGCGGCGGTGCCACTGATGGCGGGGATCTGTGGGGGAGGGGGAAAGGGGAGGATGTACCCTGGCCGGGTGGGGTGAAGGGAAGGAAAGAGAGAGATATATACCAAGCGCCCCTTCCCTACCCACCAACACCACCTTACTTTCACCACTGTTGTAGGCACACTCAAACGCCTACCACAATCACACGCACACCTACTACAATCTCACACACACCTACCATAATCTCTCTCTCACACATACACACACATACACACACATACACACCACCCCGTCACATCACACACACACCTACCACAGTCAAACACACACCTACCATAATCACATACACACACACACACATTAGTGCAAAAGCTGGAGGACCAGGCAGGTATAACAGAGAAGGCACTGCAATGGATCAGAGAATACCTGACGGGAAGGTATCAGCGAGTCATGGTACGTGATGAGGTGTCAGTGTGGATGCTTGTGACGAGTGGAATTCCACAGGGGTCAGTCCAAGGACCAGTGCTGTTTCTGGTATATGTGAATGACATGACGGAAGGAATAGACACAGAAGTGTCCCTGTTTGCAGACGATGTGAAGTTAATGAGGAGACTTCAATCGGAGGAGGATCAGGCAGGACTACAAAAGGATCTGGACAGGCTGCAGGCCTGGTCCAGCAACTGGCTCCTGGAGTTCAACCTCACCAAGTGCAAAGTTATGAAGATCGGGGAAGGTCAAAGAAGGCCGCAGACAGAGTACAATCCAGGGGGCCAAAGACTACAAACCTCACTCAAGAAAAAAGATCTTGGGGTGTGTATAATACCAAGCACATCAAACAATTAACTGCTGCAGCATATGGGAGACTAGTGAACCTTAGAATAGCATTCCGTCATCTCAGTAAGGAGTCGTTCCGGTTCTTGTACACCTCGTACGTCAGGCTCATGTTCAAGTACGCAGCACCAGTTTGGAACCCACACCTGGCCAATCACAACAGCACACACCACCCCGCCACATCACACACACACCACCTACCACAATCACACACTAGCACCACCTGCCACAATCACACTCACCACCTACCATCATCACACACGTACACACTTACCATAATCACACACCACCAACTACCACAATCACACACACAGCAATCACAATCATCCTCACACACACCTTTCCCCAATTACACACACGACCTACCATACATACACACACACACACACCACACACACACACACACACACACACACACCACACACACACACACACACACACACACACACACACACACACCACCTACCACTTACACACACACACACACACATGACGGAAGGGATAGACTCAGAAGTGTCCCTGTTTGCAGATGATGTGAAGCTAATGAGGAGAATTAAATCAGATGCGGACCAGACAGGTCAACAAACAGACCTGGACAGGCTGGATGCGTGGTCCAGCAACTGGCTCCTAGAATTTAACCCCGCCAAATGCATAGTCATGAAGATCGGGGAAGGGCAAAGAAGACCGCAGACACAGAATAGGCTAGGAGGCCAAAGACTGTAAACCTCACTCAAGGAGGAAGATCTAGGAGTGAGTATAAAACCGAATACGTCGCCAGAAGCACACATTAACCAGATAACTGCTGCGGCATATGGGCGCCTGGCAAACCTGAGAATAGCGTTCCGGTACCTCTGTAAGGAATCGTTCAAGACTTTATACACTGTGTACGTCAGGCCTATACTGGAGTACGCAGCACCAATTTGGAATCCACACCTGGTCAAACACGTCAGAGAATTAGAGAAAGTGCAAAGGTTTGCAACAAGGCAGGTTCCAGAGCTAAGGGGAATGTCCTACGAAGAAAGGTTAAGGGAAATCGGTCTGACGACACTGGAGAACAGGAGGGTCAGGGGAGACATTATAACGACATACAAAATACTGCGTGGAATAGACAAGGTGGACAGAGACAGGATGTTCCAGAGATGGGACGCAGAAACAAGGGGTCACAATTGGAAGCTGAAGACTCAGATGAGTCAAAGGGATGTTAGGAAGTATTTCTTCAGCCACAGAGTTGTTAGGAAGTGGAACAGTCTGGCAAGCGATGTAGTGGTGGGAGGAACCATACATAGTTTTAAGACGAAGTATGATAAAGCTCATGGAGCAGGGAGAGGGAGAACCCAGTAGCGGTCAGTGAAGAGGCGGGGCCAGGAGCTGAGTCTCGACCCCTGCAACCACAATTACGTGAGTACACACACACACACACACAACCTACAACGATCACACACACTACAATCACTACCAAAGAATGTCCCGGGATCATCAGGAACAACACATTAACAAGGCAGACCTGAAGCAGCGATTGTGAACGCAATCAGATTACCAATGACAATCAGGTTAACTCAACCAATCGAATTCTGCCGGGAATTGCTGCGGGCAGACTACAACCCCTCCTGCTCCAGCGATAATTCCTCTGCTGCCCCCAGCTGCTTGCAGCTGCTGCCTGCAGGTCCTGTCTGCATCAGTCCTCCTGCTGCTGCAGTACTGCTGCTCTGTGGTTGTTCTCTGCATGGCTTATCCCTCCTGCTGCTGCTGATGTTCTGCTCCCTGTATCACTCCTCCCTGCTGTTGTAACATTGCTGTGCTGCTGTGGCTATTCATTTCATCTTCCTCTCTTACAGCTGTAGCTGTACTCACCTATTTGTGGTTGCAGGGGTCGAGTCCTAGCTCCTGGCCCCGCCTCTTCACCGGTTGCTACTAGACCCTCTCTCTCCCCGCTCCATGAGCTTTATCAAACCTCGTCTTAAAACTGTGTATGGTTCCTGCCTCCACTACGTCATTTTCTAGGCTATTCCACTGCCTTACAACTCTATGACTGAAGAAATACTTCCTGCTGTGATGACTGCTCGCTGTACCACCCCTTCCTGATACATCTATGTAATTTTGAAGTTAAGCGTTGTACTGAATAGAAGGTAATACGTCGGTAAACGGAGGATCGAACTTTCACAAGCTCATAAGCTCGCAAGCTTCTAATATAATAAGCTTGCAAGCTGAGATTTTTCAAATGACTGTTATGTGGGACATATGGGAGGCAATGGTATTGTACCAGTATTCCTGCCCAGGTATTCCTGCCCCGGTATTCCTGCCCCGGTATTCCTGCCCCGGTATTCCTGCCCGGTATTCCTGCCCCGGTATTCCTGCCCCGGTATTCCTGCCCCGGTATTCCTGCCCCGGTATTCCTGCCCCGGTATTCCTGCCCCGGTATTCCTGCCCCGTATTTCTGCCCCGGTATTCCTGCCCCGGTATTCCTGCCCCAGTATTCTTGCCCCGGTATTCCTGCCCCGGTTTTTCCCGCCCGGTTTTTCCTGCCCGGTATTCCTGCCCGTATCTCCCTCCCACATTCTTGCCCCGGTAATTCCTGCCCGGAAATTCCTGCCCGGTTTTCCCCTGCCCCGGTTTCCTGCCCCGTACTTCCCCGGTATTCCACCCAGTATTCCTCCCCGGTATTCTGCCCCGGTATTCCTGCCCCGAAATTCCTGCCCCGGTATTCCTGCCCCGGTATTCCTGCCCCGGTTTTTCCTCCCCACGTATTCCTGCCCGGTATTTCTGCCCCGGTATTCCTGCCCCGGTTTTTCCTGCCCCAGTATTCCTGCCCGGAATTCCTGCCCCGGTATTTCCTGCCCCGGTATTCCTGCCCCGGTATTCCTGCCGGTATTCCTGCCCGGTATTCCTGCCCCGGTTTTCCTCCCCCGGTATTCCTGTCCGGGTATTCCTGCCCCGGTTTTCCCGCCCTTTCCCCCGGTATTCCTGCCCACGGTATTCCTGTCACGGTATTCCTGCCCCGGTTTTTCCTGCCACGGTATTCCCTGCCCCGGTATTCCTGCCCCGTATTCCTGCCCCGGTTTTCCCTGCCCCGGTATTCCTGCCACGGATCCTGCCCCGGTATTCCTGCCACGGTATTCCTGCCACGGTATTCCTGCCCCGGTATTCCTGCCCGGTATTCCTGCCCCGGTATTCCTGCCACGGTATTCCTGCCCCGGTATTCCTGCCCCGGTATTCCTCCCCCCGGTTTTCTGCCCTGGTATTCCTGCCCGGTATTCCTGCCCGGTATTCCGGCCACGGATTCCTCCCCCGGGTATTCCTGCCCCGGTATTCCTGCCCCGGATTCCTGCCCGGTATTCCTGCACGGTATTCCTGCCCCGGTATTCCTGCCACGGTATTCCTGCCACGGTATTCCTGCCACGGTATTCCTCTATGGTGCTGATAGGTTGTGTCGACGTTAATTAGTTGATGTCATTAATAAAAATTCAACACTCGTTCAAAATGTCAATAAAATTCAATATAGAATTTTTATTGAAAATTTATTAATAAGCAAATGTAAGTTTGTCTTACTGCAGTTAATTAAATTGCATTAATTAATATAAATAATATTTTATATATATATATATATATATATATATATTATATATTTTATATATATAATATATATATATATATAATATATATATTGTCCGTGCCGAATAGGCAGAACTTGCGATCTTGGCTTAAATAGCAACGTTCATCTTGCCATATAGGACAATGAAAATTTGTGTATGCAATAATTTCGCCAAAATCATTCTGAAACCTAACGAAAAAATATATTTTCACCTGTGTTTTGTTTAGTATTAAATTTTTGTAAACAAATCTAAAATATATTTAGATGGGTTAGGCTAAAATAAATTGCGCTTGTTATAAAAAGGGTTAGTAAGTTTTCTAATTTTCCCTTTTGGTGAAAAATTATAAATTTTACATCAACATTAATGAAAAAAATATTTTTAAACGTATAAGAGAAAATTTTAGAAAGGACTTAATTTTAAATGAGTTTCTTGCACTGACCAGTTTTACATATTCCACGACATATATATATAATAATATATTTTTATATATATATATATATATATATTTTATATAATATATATATATATATAACATATATATATATATATACGCAATGGAACTAG